AGCTAGACAACTACCGGCCAACCAAACAAGCAGTGGTGGTGGTGATCCCGTGTAGCCGTAACCCACATGTAGTAGTCTGGTGGCTTAGAGACGTGAGTGTACCCGCGAGCAAGGCCAACACTGAGTGGGAGGCGCGGGTGGGGAACGGGGTCAGGTGACAGGTGGGAGACAGGTGAACACGAGAGCGGACGCGGGATGACAGGTGCACCCCAGACACCCAGACGGCACACCAAGGCCACAGTGGTTCATCCCTTGCACACACGCACGCACTCACGCACGCACGCGCAGACTATATACGGTTTCAAATGTTGATATGACAGAGGGCGATAGGCGCAAGGTCTCCAACACTAGGTGACTGGCTGTCGAGATGCGGGACCAAATAGGTCACACACAACCTTCACATTATGTGAAAGAACAATTCTGTGATAAAGGCATTAAACATTACGGAACTGAAAAGACATTAAAGTGTGACATCTTGGGCAGTTGTGGATCGAAAATTGTCACCAGAGGAGTATATAAAGGTTTGCTAAGAGAGTATGCTAAGCTTTCCAACTTTAGATTCCTTTTATAATACACAAGCGGGATAATATTAAAAATGGTTCACGACCTTCGTGAGACCAAAACTGTAATATGCAGCGGATGTATGGTGACCATATCTCAAGAAGCACATTAATAAACTTGAGAAAGTGCAAACACATACTACTAAATGGCCTCCGGAATAGAAGACAAGAGCTATGAGGAGAGACTAGAGGTGTTAAACATGTCAAAGATAGAAGAAAATGAGGTGATATGATCACGACATACAAAATAGTAACAAAAATCTTAAAAATTGAACGTAGAAAGTCCTTAAAAAATGCAACGCAGTTTTTATAATGAAAAAGGTTATAGATTCAAGCTAAGAAAATAAAGTGTAAAAATAACAAAATAGAAAGTTCTATTTTTTTAAACATCGTGGTAGACGGTTGGAACAAGCTAAGTGAGAAAGTGGTGGAGGCTAAAACCATCAGTAGTTCCAAAGCGTTATACGATAAAGAGTACTGGGAAGACGGGACACAACAAGCGGAGCTCTCATCCTGTAATTACACTTAGATAATCTCACACACACTAGAAGTTGTACCCGGCAATTCCTGGGAAAGTCTCCCTCACTCCCCCCTTATTTTCCCCTATCACCCAGGTCCCACCTCTTTTCCCATATTCACTTTCCTGTTCCCTTCTACCTTCCTATCCCCCCTTCCTCCTCACTCATCTGCCAACAACCGCCTGCAACCTTGATCAGATAGAAACTTATATGTATGTACAAGTAAATCATGCAAATGTGCGGGTAAACGGCGGGGTAACATAACTCTACGGACAACACATCCCCGATTTAATTTTCAACTTTTATATAAATAAAAATGGAAATGTTCGTTTGTGCATAACCGCTAATCTCCGAAAGTTCTTCACCGATTGCTTTGAAATTTTCACACAACGTTCCATTCGCATCCGAGCAGGTTTTTATATACTTACTATATAGATGTCACGTCTGTGACGGTAAAACAAAACATGCTTTTTCTGAAAAACTGTTTTTTCATGTGAGTGAAATCTTCGAAACCTCTTTACTGATTGCTTTGAAATTTTGACACAACGTTGCATTCGAATAGGCGCGTCTTTTAATATATCTACTATATAGATGCCACCCCTGTGACAGGTTAAAAGTTGCGTTTTTGAAAAACAGCGCCATCTGTTGCACATAATAGCAACATGCACGCTATACTAAATATGTCACGTCTCATCTTCTCGTTTCCCATTTCAATGTTTCCGATTGCATTGATAAATTTTGTTTTCATAGATTTCGATTTATTTTATTTTTTAATGAATTATTTTGTGTGACATTGTGTTGGAATTGAGCTGTGTTGTTTACCATACCATTCATTTCGTAAGTATAAAGGTTTGCTAAGAGAGTATGCTAAGCTTTCCAACTTTAGATTCCTTTTATAATACACAAGCGGGATAATATTAAAAATGGTTCACGACCTTCGTGAGACCAAAACTGTAATATGCAGCGGATGTATGGTGACCATATCTCAAGAAGCACATTAATAAACTTGAGAAAGTGCAAACACATACTACTAAATGGCCTCCGGAATAGAAGACAAGAGCTATGAGGAGAGACTAGAGGTGTTAAACATGTCAAAGATAGAAGAAAATGAGGTGATATGATCACGACATACAAAATAGTAACAAAAATCTTAAAAATTGAACGTAGAAAGTCCTTAAAAAATGCAACGCAGTTTTTATAATGAAAAAGGTTATAGATTCAAGCTAAGAAAATAAAGTGTAAAAATAACAAAATAGAAAGTTCTATTTTTTTAAACATCGTGGTAGACGGTTGGAACAAGCTAAGTGAGAAAGTGGTGGAGGCTAAAACCATCAGTAGTTCCAAAGCGTTATACGATAAAGAGTACTGGGAAGACGGGACACAACAAGCGGAGCTCTCATCCTGTAATTACACTTAGATAATCTCACACACACTAGAAGTTGTACCCGGCAATTCCTGGGAAAGTCTCCCTCACTCCCCCCTTATTTTCCCCTATCACCCAGGTCCCACCTCTTTTCCCATATTCACTTTCCTGTTCCCTTCTACCTTCCTATCCCCCCTTCCTCCTCACTCATCTGCCAACAACCGCCTGCAACCTTGATCAGATAGAAACTTATATGTATGTACAAGTAAATCATGCAAATGTGCGGGTAAACGGCGGGGTAACATAACTCTACGGACAACACATCCCCGATTTAATTTTCAACTTTTATATAAATAAAAATGGAAATGTTCGTTTGTGCATAACCGCTAATCTCCGAAAGTTCTTCACCGATTGCTTTGAAATTTTCACACAACGTTCCATTCGCATCCGAGCAGGTTTTTATATACTTACTATATAGATGTCACGTCTGTGTCGGTAAAACAAAACATGCTTTTTCTGAAAAACTGTTTTTTCATGTGAGTGAAATCTTCGAAACCTCTTTACTGATTGCTTTGAAATTTTGACACAACGTTGCATTCGAATAGGCGCGTCTTTTAATATATCTACTATATAGATGCCACCCCTGTGACAGGTTAAAAGTTGCGTTTTTGAAAAACAGCGCCATCTGTTGCACATAATAGCAACATGCACGCTATACTAAATATGTCACGTCTCATCTTCTCGTTTCCCATTTCAATGTTTCCGATTGCATTGATAAATTTTGTTTTCATAGATTTCGATTTATTTTATTTTTTAATGAATTATTTTGTGTGACATTGTGTTGGAATTGAGCTGTGTTGTTTACCATACCATTCATTTCGTAAGTATAAGTATAGATGACACACCTATGACACGTAAAACTATGCTTTTCTTGAAAAACAGCACCATCTGTTGCATGTAAGAGCAACACACATGCTGTACTAAATATGTTACAATTCCATTTCAATGTTTCTGATTGCATTGATAAATTGAATTTTCGTAGATTTTGATTTATTTTCATTTTGATTTAATTATTTTGTGTGAATTGCATTGGAATAGATCTGTGTTGTTTACCATACAGTTCATTTTGTAAGTATAGTTTATTTTTTTATTTTTTTCATATTTTCATTTAATTTTTTAACTGTTTTTCTTATATTTCAGTGATGGGAACATCAGACCATTTGGGAAGGCATCGGACGAGGGAGTGGGGAATGGTGGGGATGACGAGGGGACGGAAGCGAGAGATTGTGGGGAGGACGAGGGGACGGAAGTGAGAGAAGGTGGGGAGGACGAGGGGACGGAAGTGAGAGATGGTGGAGAGGACGAGGGGACAAGGGATGGGGTAATGGTGCGAACAAGGAGATGGGGAATGGAGAATAGTGGGGAGGACAAAGGGACAGGGGAGTGGGGCATGGTGGGAGGGAAGATGGGATTGTGGAGTGGGGAATGGTTGAGAGGACGAGGAGACGGGTGATGGGGGAATGGTGGGGAGGACTGGGGGACAGGGAAGGTTGCTGAGCCACAGCAACGCGTGGCCGGGTACTGCTAGTACAGTATAAAATCAAACAGGCCACCACGTTAGAAAGGTTAAATATCTCAAAAGGAATCCACGTGGAAATAGCAGTTCGGTTATATAGACTACGTCTAGGTTACAGCTGCAACTGGGAGACTGGTGAACCACGACAGAGGGAATACATCTGCCAAACAATCACAGAAACGCCCCTACTTGACTATCTCCTGGAATGTGACGCAACCAACGACCTTAGAAGAGGTTTAAGAGTCCCTGAATCTTGCAGTAACCACCCTGAAGCCATCAACACTGCCACTCTTCTGGTCAAAAAGGGTGTCCAGCAGCTGGACACAATCATAAATACTGTCAAGCACTATCCTCCCCCACGATAGCAGCCTGACGATTAAAAGCGACCTCAGCACACAGTATACATTTACTAAACAAAAAATCTACCACTTACGGGCTATTGATGCCCGTGCCACCTCTTGGGTGGCTTCATCATCAACCAACTTGTAGCTTACGTGCTCACTATAGCCCGAGCTACAAGGACATTTCTTTCTGAGTAGCTAAATCTAAAACTACAAACGACGAACTTGTCGCTGGCCTCGGACTTGTAGCCCAGAGACACTTGAAGATGTTACAGGATCAAATACCACATTCACTCCAAACATCTACCACCTACGGGCTACTCGTGCCCATGCCCCATCTTGGGGTGGCTTAATCTTCATCAACCAACCAACTTGTATCCATTCAAACTGTGCCTTTGATAATGTTAACAAGGGTTAATGAAACACATGTCTTAGCGTCTGGCCAAATCAAATTTATAAATGAACACTGCAGAGTTAATTTCTCACTTCCTTTTCAAGTGAAAAAAAATTTAGAGAAGGTTCTGGATAAAATAATTGATCTCAACCTTTCTGTCATATTCAATATATATATATATATATATATATATATATATATATATATATATATATATATATATATATATATATATATATATATATATATATATATATATATATTTCCATTTTACATCCTATTTCAAACGGCTTGTTCATTTTATAAACTGATCTCATTTGGATGAAATGAGTATTCAGACTCCTTTCCATTTTTCAATTTTAATGCCTGGGTGAATAATTGGATTGGACATGGTTGAATCATATCATCTCGTTTTATCCAGCAAATGTCGTCCCTTTCTGGAAAACTGATTGTGTTTGGTATTTCCAGAGATCTTAGGAAACTCATTTTGAAATCACACCATTTTTCTGAAATCTCTGATTATTCCTAACCATATTTTACTATCATACCTACATGAAATATGTTAACCACATTGATACGCAGTATCTATTTTTATACACGACTCATTCTGGTCAACTTATTGTAAATACTGAATAATGTTCAGAGTCATACGTTTGGAAAGTCTCTGTATTTAAATCATGGACGGGCGAATTATTTTATGCATGCCTCTTTCTCACTTCACTGGAATATATTTCTTGAAGCTATTGGAGAAGAAAGCAGGTATGGCACACACAAGGCTCTTGGCGTGTGTGTGTCCTGCATCAGAGACCTGGAGGTGAGCCTTCCTCACACGTATATTGTCGCTCCTCCTATACCATCACATGTATTCTTGTCGTCACCTCTCACACAGAAATACCTCTCAGCTTCAACACCAAAATCTTCATGATTGTGTACATTTATATAACTGTTCACATTTTGATATTGCCTCCACAGCCATCACAATAGCAAATTACACTTTTTTCACATTAGGGAACCTTTTTTGGACACCTTTAATTATGTACTGTTAAGAAGTATATACTGATCAAATTTTTTTTGACCAGAATGCTAGTTGAGCATTTAAGACAGTCGTTAATACAGTAACTACTATGCATCAATCCTACAATCTTCTTACTATACATTACAAATAAATGAAGTGTTGCCTGATGGTTTGTCCAGTGAAAATTTTGAGACACTTCGTGTGAGATGACGGAAGACTTATGAAAACAAGAACACGCACTCTCTTGGCCAGTAGTGTGTCCTTGGTGTTCATTTGTTATCTCTGACATTTAGCGATATAGTGATAACGTGTGAGGGAAAAATTCCGTCTGAAAGAATGTCTGTGAAATCATCAGTTGATGCTGTATGGGTTTCCAGAGTTGATGGATCCGCAGTAGTCCATTAAACATATTCTACATGGTCTCTGTTAATACTGACACTATTAAGTCAGCAATACCTTTATTACCACGACAATCCCGGCAACAATGTAGCAGGCACTAGGAACTGTTGACACCAACACTTTTATCCTTATGAGTATAATATGTGGTGCCATTCTCACTACATATAGAACCACCACCAGTCTTGGAGTCTGGTGACAAGTGCACACACACACAAACTCGCTGTGTTCCATTGCCCTCCACCAAAGGCACATCATTTTGGTGGTAAACCTGCAAAATATGAAAATCCTTCGCTAGTATCAATTTCTCTATATCTTTCATATTTTTTCTCTACATCTTCCAATAAATGCAACAACGATCATAAAAACACCGAGCAAATTATACGGGAAACCCCACATTGAAGAATATAAGACTGCTAAACGCGTTTTCCACCGTCAGGTCTTGTCTACCTCTCATGAAGACCTGACGCACGAAAGCGCATTCACCACGCGTCTAGTTTTCAATGTGGTTTTTCCAGCATATCTCTCTCTCTCTCTCTCACTTTATACATATATATTGTGATAATAATCTCTTTCAAGAGAGATTGAGCCTGCTCTTCCCTACATAAAGTTATTTACACATATACAAGAATAAGATGCTACCTTCAAGATACGTCCACCAGTAGCACAAAACGTTTTGACCAGGAGGCAAAACGTACCCTAAACCCCCCCCCTCCACACTCCCTCCATGCCGGCTCGCCCGTCGTCAACCAGCAAACTACCATTCCAGCCTGCCTGCTTCTGATTGGTGACCCGCCGTCTGCACACCTGCACCTCAGCGCCCTCTACCTAAGTCGGTGTCTGGGCTTGAACCAGCCATTGAAGTCAGAATATCCTTGTGCTCTCAAGCTGTGAACAACCAACTGATACACGTCCTGTTTATTGGTGGAGGTTCCCAGCTAGCGCTATATTCTCAGCACCTGTTTATGTCATTTTGTCTTTATATTATTCCTAGAGTAATTTATCCCTGTTCTTAATGTTTATGACTTGTTTGTTTGCACTGTACATAGCCAAGGGATTGTCTTTGTTTTTAAATTTGCTTTCCAGTTAATTAAAGTTTCATTGTTCATACTATGTGTTTTGCGTGTCTTCCCTTACTCTACCACAGACAACAGCCAAGCAGTCGCTTTTTTTTTGTAAATGTGACAGGCATTGACACCAGCCATTAGGAGGACTGTTGAACATTTACACTCCTACACTTTCCCGTCACAATATATATATATATATATATATATATATATATATATATATATATATATATATATATATATATATATATATATGCACACCAATTGTTTTAAGCTACCCAGCAAGAGACACTTGTGTTAGTAATCATTCTGACCAATATCTTTATTTCTGACACTGACACAATCATTTACCTCCACAGATCCGATTTCTTCTTCCGCATTGAAAAATGTGATTTGTAATGATAATTTTGTTAATTTTCAGTCAATTCAAATCACTATTTGCAAGATTTACAGTGAAATACTGTACCGAGAGAAATTTTTTAGACTGATATTTGTACACCTGTGATTAGGCTTAACTCAAATAGGTCAATTTTGAAAATATTGATCAACCTTCGGTGAAATCCCATGAAACATATATATAATGCCCTAATTTTTGTATACATAAATTTTAAGTGGTCTTCATAACAATATCAATTTGGTACGTGAAATATAATATTTGAATGCACTTGCAATGTATCTTCTGGCTCAATTATGAGTAGATGAATTTGAAAATGAGGTATTCTCGCCATTTCCACCCCCCCCCCCTCCATCCAAAAAATAAAATATATAGGGTTATCTTGAGATGATTTCGGGGCTTTTAGTGTCTCCGCGGCTCGGTCCTCGACCAAACCTCCACCCCCAGGAAGCAGCCCGTGACAGCTGACTAACACCCAGGTACCTATTTTACTGCTAAGTAACAGGGGCATAAGGTGAAAGAAACTGCCCATTATTTCTCGCCGGCGCCCGGGATCGAACCCGGGACCACGGGATCACAAGTCCAGCGTGCTGTCCGCTCGGCCGACCGGCTCCCTCTAACTTTTGAACCAAAGTCGGATTTACCTGATACTTGGATATTTGGGCTGTGAGTAGAGAGAAAGATATAGATGTTGTTATATGTACCCGGGGTGGAGTCAGGCCCCGGGGCGGGCTTGGGGAGTGCTGGAACCCCACCAACCCCATCCAGGTACAGATACTCTTACTGCAAGGGTTATGGGCTTTATTTCACATTTTCTTCTATATTCCATCATGGAATATCCCAGGTGTGGAGTGACACCAGGTGTGGCGTGCACCCTAGGTGCCGTGGAGTGCACCCTAGGTGCCGTGGCGTGCACCCTAGGTGCCGTGGAGTGCACCCTAGGTGCCGTGGAGTGCACCCTAGGTGCCGTGGAGTGCACCCTAGGTGCCGTGGAGTGCACCCTAGGTGCCGCGCACTCCACCACTGACCTCACACATGACGCCACCAGTTCTCTCAGTGTTTCCCTCCTCGGGTGTCTGGAGGCTATACTTAATTTAGCTCAGTTTGTATACGTGTCTCCGGTGACATTATTCATGTGTTCCCTTTGGTGATAAAGTTGGCGTCGTGACAAGTGCCAGGCTGTCCTCCTGTGGTCGCCTTGCACGCACCTGCACGCACCTCCTGCCTCTCACCCTCACGCACCTCCTGCCTCGCACCCTCACGCACCTCCTGCCTCGCACCTGCACGCACCTCCTGCCTCGCACCTGCACGCACCTCCTGCCTATCACCTGCACGCACCTCCTGCCTCTCACCTGCACGCACCTCCTGCCTCTCACCTGCACGCACCTCCTGCCTCTCACCTGCACGCACCTCCTGCCTCGCACCCTCACGCACCTCCTGCCTCTCACCTGCACGCACCTCCTGCCTCGCACCTGCACGCACCTCCTGCCTCGCACCTGCACGCACCTCCTGCCTCGCACCCTCACGCACCTCCTGCCTCTCACCTGCACGCACCTCCTGCCTCGCACCTGCACGCACCTCCTGCCTCGCACCTGCACGCACCTCCTGCCTCGCACCTGCACGCACCTCCTGCCTCTCACCTGCACGCACCTCCTGCCTCTCACCTGCACGCACCTCCTGCCTCTCACCTGCACGCACCTCCTGCCTCGCACCCTCACGCACCTCCTGCCTCTCACCTGCACGCACCTCCTGCCTCGCACCTGCACGCACCTCCTGCCTCGCACCTGCACGCACCTCCTGCCTCGCACCTGCACGCACCTCCTGCCTCTCACCTGCACGCACCTCCTGCCTCTCACCTGCACGCACCTCCTGCCTCTCACCTGCACGCACCTCCTGCCTCGCACCCTCACGCACCTCCTGCCTCTCACCTGCACGCACCTCCTGCCTCGCACCTGCACGCACCTCCTGCCTCTCACCTGCACGCACCTCCTGCCTCTCACCTGCACGCACCTCCTGCCTCTCACCTGCACGCACCTCCTGCCTCTCACCTGCACGCACCTCCTGCCTCTCACCTGCACGCACCTCCTGCCTCGCACCCTCACGCACCTCCTGCCTCGCACCCTCACGCACCTCCTGCCTCTCACCTGCACGCACCTCCTGCCTCTCACCTGCACGCACCTCCTGCCTCTCACCTGCACGCACCTCCTGCCTCTCACCTGCACGCACCTCCTGCCTCGCACCCTCACGCACCTCATGCCTCTCACCTGCACGCACCTCCTGCCTCTCACCCTCACGCACCTCCTGCCTCGCACCCTCACGCACCTCCTGCCTCTCACCCTCACGCACCTCCTGCCTCTCACCTGCACGCACCTCCTGCCTCGCACCCTCACGCACCTCCTGCCTCTCACCTGCACGCACCTCCTGCCTCTCACCTGCACGCACCTCCTGCCTCGCACCCTCACGCACCTCCTGCCTCTCACCTGCACGCACCTCCTGCCTCTCACCCTCACGCACCTCCTGCCTCTCACCTGCACGCACCTCCTGCCTCGCACCCTCACGCACCTCCTGCCTCGCACCCTCACGCACCTCCTGCCTCGCACCCTCACGCACCTCCTGCCTCTCACCCTCACGCACCTCCTGCCTCTCACCTGCACGCACCTCCTGCCTCTCACCCTCACGCACCTCCTGCCTCTCACCCTCACGCACCTCATGCCTCGCACCCTCACGCACCTCCTGCCTCTCACCTGCACGCACCTCCTGCCTCTCACCCTCACGCACCTCCTGCCTCTCACCCTCACGCACCTCCTGCCTCTCACCCTCACGCACCTCCTGCCTCTCACCTGCACGCACCTCCTGCCTCGCACCCTCACGCACCTCCTGCCTCTCACCTGCACGCACCTCCTGCCTCGCACCCTCACGCACCTCCTGCCTCTCACCCTCATGCACCTCCTGCCTCTCACCTGCACGCACTTCCTGCCTCTCACCCTCACGCACCTCCTGCCTCTCACCCTCACGCACCTCCTGCCTCTCACCTGCACGCACCTCCTGCCTCTCACCCTCACGCACCTCCTGCCTCTCACCCTCACGCACCTCCTGCCTCTCACCCTCACGCACCTCCTGCCTCTCACCCTCACGCACCTCCTGCCTCTCACCTGCACGCACCTCCTGCCTCGCACCCTCACGCACCTCATGCCTCTCACTCTCACGCACCTCCTGCCTCTCACCCTCACGCACCTCCTGCCTCTCACCTGCACGCACCTCCTGCCTCTCACCTGCACGCACCTCCTGCCTCTCACCTGCACGCACCTCCTGCCTCGCACCCTCACGCACCTCCTGCCTCTCACCTGCACGCACCTCCTGCCTCTCACCTGCACGCACCTCCTGCCTCTCACCCTCACGCACCTCCTGCCTCTCACCTGCACGCACCTCCTGCCTCTCACCCTCACGCACCTCCTGCCTCTCACCCTCACGCACCTCCTGCCTCGCACCCTCACGCACCTCCTGCCTCTCACCCTCACGCACCTCCTGCCTCTCACCTGCACGCACCTCCTGCCTCGCACCCTCACGCACCTCATGCCTCGCACCCTCACGCACCTCCTGCCTCTCACCTGCACGTACCTCCTGCCTCGCACCCTCACGCACCTCCTGCCTCTCACCTGCACGCACCTCCTGCCTCTCACCCTCACGCACCTCCTGCTTCTCACCCTCACGCACATCATGCCTCGCACCCTCACGCACCTGCCTCTCACCTGCACGCACCTCCTGCCTCTCACCCTCACGCACCTCCTGCCTCTCACCTGCACGCACATC